GCTGCACGTGCTCCTGGTGGATGGCTTCTCTCAGCCCTACCTGCCTCTGCCTGAGGTGGCCCCTGAGGAGCCCCACGCTGACTCCCTCACGGTCTACTTGGTCATCGCTCTGGCCTCGGTCTCCTCGCTCTTCCTCTTCTCTGTGCTCTTGTTTATTGGGATGAGACTATACAGGAGGAGCAGGGCCACCTGGGTGGATTGCTATCCCGTGCCTGAAAGCCACTTCCCAAGCCACTTGGTGGGTTTGAGTGGCACTGGAACCCTGTCCCAAAGCTACCAGTATGAGGTGTGTCTGACTGGAGGCTCTGAGATAAATGAGTTCAAGTTCCTGAAACCAATTATCCCAATTGGTCTGGCTCAAGATTAAATGCCAACTGCAGGAATTTTGCTGGGGAGTTGGCGCTGAGTAATAGCAATTTTAGGTTTTCATTAACCGAATAATTTAAAAAGTATTCGTTTTCTGATTTTTTTAAAAATTAAGAGTCTTTATATGATACATTTTGTTTGTTTTTTAAATTCTCCATTTTATTTATAGATTGACTTTTTATGTAGTGAATGCACCCATAGTCTCCTTTAATCATTTGCTTCCTATTTTACCATAAAAATCCTTTACTTTTTTCAGTAACTGAGCAAGATAAATTCATTATCTTTTATGTGGTCATTTAGGTTCTTAAAAATAACTAATTACAAGTTCTATATTTCAGAGAAATGTAGAATTCTAAACTGCTAATTTTACAATATATCTTCATATAATGTGTTCATATAATGCTCCTAAAGCAGCTTTGTCTATACTGAATGATATTTGCACATGTGTTTTGAGATTTGGTGATGTGTGTTATTTTAGTGTTATGGGATTAAAATAAAAGTAGTACACTTCATTCATTTTTTATTTATTTTTGCAATGTTGAATTATGTGTGTATTAGCTATTGACAGACAAAAATTATGGTAACTATGCGCAATTTACTCTGAGGTTTAGTTTAAGTGAATTAATGATATCTGAGGGAATATAATTAAAATTAATTTACCTTAAACAACTGATTCTGATTTTTCATTTGTCATAGAAACATTCTTTGCTATGAGGACATTATAAATTGTCTGGTAGTATAAAAACTCAGATTATAAACTCTAAGATGAAAATGTTATTAACTTCAGGCTAGTTTATTTTAGTTTGCTGTTGTTGTTGTTATGTACCATTGAGTTAGAACCTACTAGAACCACCTGCCTTTGGGTTGGCAGTGCAACTCCTTAGCCATTAAGCCACCAGAGCTCCCCTACATACGAATAGAGAGTCCTAAATAGGATAGAGCGAAAGTTAAATTAGATGTGATTAAGGAAAAATAATCTGGAAGTTTTCAAAGTGTCATATTTTCATCCACTTTCAGTGATATATAAAAAAAAACCTTTCAAGTAACTAAATATTTTAGAGAAATTAACTTCTTAAAAGAAAATAGCTTCTTGTCGTGGGCATTTTCTCATACGGAAAGGAATTGTGTATTCATAGTCACAAGAATGAAAAATGAACTTTCTCAAAATTTTTGGAAATTCCCAAAACAGAAAATGAGTTTAAGATTGCTTAACTGCAATAATTTTTTAAGGTTAGTTTTTATTACAATGGCATCATTTTATGTAACTATCAGATACATGACTTCTTAATAATCAGGAGAAAGAGAATGGGATTATAAGTAGTCTTCTTTCACCCATTTAGTATTTTGTAGGAATATTTGAATATGACTATTTTTATTAAAATTACTTCTTTTCACATTAAATTGGATGTCTATAAAGATAGTGATGACAGTAAAAAATTATGTTCAAGAAATATCTTTATTTGAGTGGATTAGTTGGTAGTATCAGAAAAGAGATATTCAATGGTGGGAGATATGAAGGGTAGTTAATTTTTTATAAATTATCTAGGAGTAGCTTGTTTGGAGAAGCCGAAACCAAGTTCCTCCTTGGAGGCAAGTATTTTGAAGTTCTGTTTCACATACTTTAGACATGCTGTCAGGAAGGACCAGTCCTTGGAGAAGGACATCATGCTTGGATGAGTGAAAGGACAGTGCAAGAAAGAAAGACACTAGAGAAGATTGACACAATAACTGGTTAATGGGAAAAGTGTGTCAGAGACATTGAGATTGGTTCAGAATAGTTTCATGCATAGGGTTGGTATTAGTTGTAACAGATTCAATGACACAAAACAACAACAACAAAGTTATGGATTACACCTCCACATCAAGAAAACAAAACTTCTCACTACCACCAGTCCAGTAGGCAACATCATGATAAGTGGCAAAGAGATCAAAGTTGTTAATTGTTTCATCTTGCTTAAATCCATAATCGATACCCTTGGTATCAGCAGTCAAGAAAGCAAAAGACAAGTTACTTTAGGAGAATTTTCTGTGAGAGAACTCTGAAGAGTACCAAACAGTGATGAGGTCAGCTTAAAGACCGAAATGCACCTGATCCAAGCCATGGTCATTCTCTATTGCTTGCTGTGTGTCTGAGAGTCCAACTACGAACAACAGAAGAAGAAGCAATGCTCTGAGTTGTGGTGCTGGAGAAGAGTACTAAATATCCCATAGATTGTCCAGAGAACAAACCAGTCTTTCTTAGAGAAAGTGAAAACAGAGTACTTCTTGGAAGCAGGGATGGTGAAACTTCCTCTCACATACTTTGTTAAGAGACACCAGTCTTTGGAGGAGGACATTAAGCTTGGGAAAGTGGAGGGTCAATAAAAGAGAGGAAAATGTTGTCAAGTTGGTTGACACAGTGACTGTAGCAATGGGCTCAAGAGTGTCAAGGATGGTGAGGAGAGGGAAGTTTTCCGATCTGTAGTTCATAGGGTGGCTATGATTCATACTTTACATGACAGCATATGACAACAGCAAAACATGCATGTGAAAGCGGGGCAATGAATAAGGAACATCAGAGAAGAATTGGTGCATTTAAAATATCTTGTTGGTGAAGAATATTGACTGCACTATGAACAAACAAATCTGTCTTAAAAAGAAGTGCAGCTAGAACGTTCCTTAGAAGTGAGAATAGCAAGACTTGTCTTATGTGCTTCGGACATGTTATCATGCTTGGTAAAGCTGAGGGTCAGTGACAAAGAAAACCCTCAACGAGATGGATTAGCCCAGTGTATGCAAGTGGTCAAAGTTTTACTCTATGTATGCTTTTTTATTCTATGTATCTATGAGTTAGAACCAAGTAGACGGCACTCTTTGGAGTTCCACAAACCAAAAGGCTGTCAAAAGATATGATTTTCTATGTTCATAATAATTTCTTACTACTTTCGCCAGCTTATTACTGCAAATTCTTTCCAAACTGACCTTTTACTGATAGTCCAGTTTTCAAAAAGTTTTATTCTCTTTCCCCAGAATATGTGACATGACCTTAATAGACCATAAGGAACTTTAAGTTAGAGCTAGGTTTCTGTTTTCTTTAGTACATGCTTCAATGCGTTGTGCACAGTACATGTTCAGTTAATATTTGTTATACAATTTTTAAAAATCAATGGACATTCCAAGAACTTGGTTATTTGAATCTCCATAGTGCTAATTTATTATTTTAAAACTTTGACAGATGTTTTTAGATGGTTGGAAAATTCTGAGAATTGTGGAAAAATATATTCATTACCAATCATGTTCTTAAAAAAATAAGATTCTTAGGGGGCTCTGGTGGTCTAGTGGCAAGAAGCTGCACTGCAACCCCAGCCATGGTTCAAATCCACCAGATGCTCTGCTGGAGAAGGAGGGGCAATCTCCTCCTGTACCTGTCAGATCCGATTTGACTGTACACACACACACACAAAATAAAATAAAAGTAAAGAAAGATTCTTGTATCTTTTATTTCAGAAACCAAAACAAAGGAAATACTTGTTATGTGCCATCGAGTCGCTTGCGACTCAGCAACCTTATGTGCAACAGCCCTAAATGCCGTTCAATCCTGTGCCAACCTCGCGGTCTCAAACACATTCATTCCCACCACTCCACTCACAGAATCGATCCATCTCATCTGGGGTCTTTCTCTCCTGTGCCGTCTCTCCACTCTCCCAAACAGGAGGTCCCTCTCCAAGGACCAGTCCCTCCTTGCAACATGTCCAAAGTATGTCAGACCAAGCTTCAGAATCCTTGACTCCAAGGAGCATTCTGGCTTCACCCTCTCCAGGACAAACCTGTTTATTCTCCTAGTAGTCCATGTTATATTCAACACTCTTCTCCAGCACCACAGTTCAAAGGCATCAATTCTCTTTCTATCGTCCCTAGTCACTGTCCAACTCTCCGATGCATAGTACGTAATTGCAAAGACTATAGGCTGGATCAGGCACACCTTAGTCTCCAGCCTGACGTTGTTGTTCTTCAGTACTCTTGAGAGGTCCCTCACAGCTGACTTACCCAATGCAATTCGTCTCCTGATTTCCTGGCTGCTGTTACCAAGAGTGTTGACTGTGGAACCAAGTAAACTAAAACTGTTCACTATCTCAATCTCTTCACCATCTATACTGATGACTGCCAATTGGCCCAGTGGTGAAAATCTTTGTTTTCTTGAGGTTGAGCTTCAATCCATACTGAAGACTGCAGTCCTTGACCTTCTGCAACAAGCGCTTCAGGTCCTCCTCAGTTTCAGTAAGCAGGGTTGTATCATCCGCATAACGCATGTTGTTGATGATTCTTCCACCAATCCTGATGCCACATTCCTCCTCCTACAGCCCAGTGTCTTGGATGATCTGTTCTGCATACAGATTGAAAAGGTATGGAGACAGAATACATCCCTGACGGACCCCTTTCTTGATTTTGAACCATCCGGTGTCTCCCTGCTCTCTTCTGACTGCTGCCTCTTGGTCCAAGTATAGGTTTCACATTAGCACAATCAAATGTTCTGGGATTCCCATTCTTCTCAGAGTTATCCGTAGCTTGTTGTGATCCACACAGTCAAAAGCCTTTGCATAGTCAATAAGCACAGATAGACATTCTTCTGGTATTCTCTGCTTTCTGCTGAGATCCATTATGCATTAGCTATAATATCCCTAGTACCACGGCCTCTTCTAAATCCAGCCTGCACATCTGGCAGTTCTCTGTTGACATATTGTTTCAAATGTTTTTGGATCATTTTCTTGCTTGCATGTGATATCAATGATATTGTTTGATAATTTCCACACTCTATTGGGTCACCTTTCTTTGGAATGGGAACAAATATCGATCTCTTCCAGTGAGTAGACCAGCTGGCTGTCCTCCAGATTTCCTGGTACAACTTACTGAGCACATCCAGAGCAGTGTCTGTTTGTTGAAATAAATCAGTTGGTATGCTGTCAACTCCTGGAGCCCTGTTTTTTGCCAATTCCTTCAGAGCAACTTGAACTTCCTCCTTCATCACCATAGGCTCTTGCTCATATGTTATTTCATGAACCTCTGTGTTAGCCAATTCCTTCTGATACAATGACTCTGTGTACTTCTTTCATCTTCTCTTGATACTTCCTGGATCATTTAACATTCTACCCAAACTATCTTTAAAAGTTGTAAAACAATGTAAAATTCTGATACTCTTCTGTTCATCCAATTAATTTTCTGAAATCTTTACTTAAAGTCCTTGGTCCATAAATGGAATCTCCAAGGAACTTTGGCCAATCTTCATAATATAAAAAAATTAATTATATTTGTAAGAACTCAAAGGCTTAAATAACACTTCCAAATAGCCAATAGTTTATTTTCAGAACATTATACAAATGTCCACTCTTCGTCTTTTCTTTTCAACATTTTAATTCATATCTAATTTTAATGTTTCCTTGACATTCACAATCCAGTATTTTTAACACTCATAGGAAAATAGAATAAAATGTTAAATATTTATTTGAAGTTGTTAAATTGCTATGGTACAGTCAAATATCAATCATAAAAATTAGTTTAGTAATTCATCTTATTGTCCATAAATACTCATTAATAATTAATTTCTCTCTCTTTACAAACAAGGATTTAAAAAAAAACACCTTGATAGTTTTTCTATACATCTATACTATTTTACACAACCACCACCAGATAGCTTCTGTACCCACTTCTGCAAATTAAAACCTTAGTTAATCTTAGCATCTCTTTGTCACACACCACACACAGGTAAAAGTTCTGGACTGATTCTTGCAGATACATTTTGGCTGGGTAGAGTTCCCCTTAGGTAGGGATTTTCTGCATTTATATTAATGGTAACCTCCACGTAGGCCACTAAGAAAATAGCACCACACTCATATCTATATGCAAAACGGATCATCCAGGAGGCTGGGCTCTATGAGGTGGAATGTGGCATCAGAATTAGAGGAAGACTCATCAACAAACCACACGATGCAGATGACACAACCTTGCTTGCGGAAACTGAGGACCTGAAACACTTCTTGCAGAGGGTCAAGGACTGCAGCCTTCAATATAGATTGAAGCTCAACATCAAGAAAACAAAGATTCTCACCAGTGGGCTGATTGGCAACATCATGATAGATGGTGAAGAGATTGAGATTGTTAACAGCTTTAGTTTGCTTGGCTCCACAATCAACACTCTTGGTAGCAGCAGCCAGGAAA